TGTTGTGTCGCCACAGTCCTCAAAAAGGCACTTGTGCATGCACAAGCGTATTGATGTCCATTGCAGGTTCGACAAGGATATCACCAAGATTTGAGTGTCCGATTCTTATGACAACTTTACGTTACCACTTTGATCGCGCCATTGGTCGTGTGTGTTTTCCAAGAGTGGGGTTCGGTGGAATTCGCAAAAAGGACTTGGAGGAGAAGCTTGGCAACATGAAAAGGACCTTGGTGTCCATGGCTCATGTGTTCATGGCAGGGAAAGGAATGTCCTTTCAAAGCGATAAAATAATCAAGATAAACACCATGTAAGACATGAAGTGGACCCCGGTAGACCGATGGTTTGGAGAATCGTTGTCCATTCCTACGTTTGCAGGACCACTGCCTGTGCTATTGCTGATGTTGCAGTGAAAGCTCGCTCAGCTGCGCGTCTCAAGGTTGGATATCTTCGCTGGTCAGATTTGAAAGCTGTCTGGAAATGGGAAGGGGTCAAAACAGACCATGGATTGGTTGGGGTTCCTCATCTTGGAACACACAAAAAAGTTGCCTTCCTTCGAGTTTGTTTCAGCATCACAGCCAGCCAGACAGTGCTTCAAAGCCAAGAGAAGAGAAGGTGGATGCATTAATTGAGGACGATGTGTTCTGCTGTTGTGTGATCCTTTCAAGGGGCCCTCCTTCAAGGGAGAAGCAGGAATCGGTGGTCCATTCTGCCATCATCCACTACTGGCCCCACTCACTTCGCAAAGTGTTGGACAATTTGTTGAATTTATTTGCCCGCATTTCTACTAGGAGCAAGAAGCTACTAGGAACAAAGGACATCGCTAGAGGCTACTAGTAGCTCCTGACATCCCACTTCGTTTGTCATCCAGGCCCGGCTACAAGGATCTGCTGTCATGCATGCTGAAGGGGGACCCAGGCAATTCAAGCATTGGTGATGGCTAGTCACATGGAAGTAGTGCGCTCTGTTGCCTTTCAGAAGTAGTGTCGCAGTGGCAAGGCCCAGTTCGTGATATATTTGCTCACTGCACGCGGGAAAGCCAACAAGATATGGAAAGGATTTGTGGCGGGAAAGCCGCTGTTTGTGATTGTTGGGGTTCTTCACCCACTGGCACATGTTGCAGATAGTTCTGACTAGATCCTTCCACTTTGGAGTCGCATTCAGCTTGCGTGCATTCTCGACACATGTTCTCGCATATAACCCCAATGCAAATGGTTACTGTAAGCGGCCTGTTTGAGGGTCGCAAAGACCCGAAAGGAAGGACGAGTGCAGCGGAACATCAAAAGAGCGAGCCTAACGGGCCTAACGCAACTCCAAAGCAAATTCTGAGCGTGCACATTTTGGAGCAGTAGAATCGGAAAGTCAGGGGAGGAAGCAAAATTGTGGGCAAAGAGAGCATCATCAAAAGCACATGGCTGAAGACAACAAGACCAGCAAAGGGCAAAGGAAATGCCTATGCCTAGGGGTAGAAACAGTCAGTGATTGGCCCACTACAAGGAGACCAACAACAAGGAGTGTATGTGGCAAAGTGAAGCTCCTTGTCGATGGGTTCTTTGTTTCCTTCGCCTAGCACACATGTACAGATATATAACATACATGGCTCACATATATGTCAATCATGGATTCGCTTGCCCACCTGTGTTGGTCAAGGTCCTGGAGCTGCGTGATCTCTTTGTTTACGGCTTCGATCCCTTCACCTTGGAGGAGACCGAGACGACTGAGTGATCGAGAGTCGAGACGGAGCGATTCCTCCCGAACAACAGAAACAGAGAGACTGAGGGTTTTCTTGGATACTTATGATATCTGAATAATACTCCTTTAATGATAAAACATATTCAATCACTGGGCGGAGGTACGAGGTGCTCAGAGGTTTCCATAGGTTGTCATTCTTTTCCGTCTTCCGCCATGCAGCGTGAATTCAACGAAAGATCTCATTCATTGCTCCCAGAAAATGATGTCGATGAAACGAGCGAAGTTGGTCACAGCCTCGGCCGGTGATGTGGCGACATGGGTTTGATTCTCTCTTTTCGAAATTACATCCCAGCAAAAGATAGCTGCAGACGACATCGGAGTTCGTACTATCAGGCTGCAACCACCACCCAGAAACTTTGTTTCCAAATATTGACAATCGATCTATCAAACCTTCAGGGTGGGCGAGGACGACCCATTTGCAATTTGTGCAACTTTGTGCAATGTGCGCCAATAACTACAATGCGCCTATACAATCCTATACAACATTCATGCAACTACTGATCCACGCTCAGGAAAAGGCTCATTCAAATGAATCAGTCTCTGACGACGTCGCTGGCACCTCAAGTGGTTTCTCAAATGAATCACATTGAAAAACATTGAAAAAACGTCATGTTTGTGGCGCCAGAAGCGAAACTGAGCTCGCTCACCGCAGGTTTGTTCGAGCATCGTGGGCTCCTCCACCCGGTCGAACAAGGCCGACCGGTCGACTCGCTCAGCGGGAGTCGAGGCGGTCGCCGGTCGACCGCTCCGGAAGGCCTGGAATGCAGCTGCTGAGGAGGGCTTTCGGCACGCAGAGAGCAAGCAGCGAACAGCATGGCGTCATTCACATGATACTCAGCCTTTGCTTGGAGTCTATCTATACATATTCATGGAGGGTGGTGGAAAGTGTTTGATTCATGTTGAGTGCTGTGTAAGTTCTTCACCAGCCTGTTCACATCCCCAGGGTGTCCTTTTGCGAGTTAACATCACAAAAGGCCTCCGAAGCCTCACCCTGGTCGACAATGGATCAATTGAATCACCAATACAGTAGCCACAAATGTCCACCGGCAACACGTACACTTCAGCAAAGGCCATCGTCGCCGAGAGTCGGCGCGGCTGCGCAAACATACGCGCACGAAGTGAGTCGAAGCCGGTTGAAATGATGGCCCGATGCCTTGAGAGGTCCAACTTGGTTACGATCGGCAATTTCTGTGCAATGATTAGTCATTCTTCGTGTAATTGGAGAGCGTCTTTAGATAACTTAAATGATCAAGTATCTTCAGATAACTCTGAACGCAGATAATAACCTTGTTCCTTGATTCGTGGCAAGTCTGGCAGTGCAAAAGGAATCAAACGATACCAAAAAAGGATATCAAAAGGATGCACCTATGCAACAATGCCGGAAAGCGCGTTCTTCACGGCAGTGGCTTAATGTATTACTTATTTGATCTTATTGGCAGTGGTTTGTGTCGAACAAAGAAGGTTGCTTGGCAACACAGCTTGTTTCAGAGTGGTCTAGAGTCTATCCCATTTTGTTTCAGGAGGCAGAAGAAGCAAGTGCCGAGTACTGGAAGGACGTGCTGAAGGGATTTGATGGCTTCATGATTCATGACATTTCATGACGTGCCTTTGCCAGTGGTCATACGCTTGTCTCAAAGAATAAGCCATGCATTTCTGAGTATAAGCATTCACACAGCGGAATTGGGAATGGCTCATAAACTATTGAAGCAGTTGTGTCTATTTGATGGTCCCGGCTACATGGATATATAACTGATGTGGTCATTGTTGTAATTCTAGAGCTATTTCACGCGCCCTTGGGCCTGACTGTTTGGATTTGAACATCCAGGAGACCACGCAAATTTACGCCGGGCTCACCTTGGTTGTTTCTTTGGCCGTGTACATCATACAGGCCTGGCAGATGTTGTTCAAGTGGAGGCAGCCAGTTCTGAAGCAAGCTTGGCAGCTTAGTTCAAGTGTCGTGTGGGACGACTGCAGAATAAACAAACTGTAGTGCCATAGGACGCTACTAGGGGCTCCTGGCACCGCTACCAGGAACAAGAAGCTACGCTACTAGGGGCTCCTGGCATTGTGGGCCGAATCTTGGTGAGTGTTGTTCTTTTATCTATGCTTTACTCAGTGTAGAGGCATTGACTCAGTGTAGAGGGCAACGGGGAAGTGGACACCCTCAATCTTTAAGGGGTGTACGGTGTATGCTAAAAAAGCGCAAACACTCAAGCAATAGGAACTAATAGCTTAAGTACGTATTGGACGATTCCTATAGTGAAACTACATGGCCACATCGAATTTTTGCTGCACCCGGGCCCGCCACTCGAGCTCACTACAGACTTTGTGAAACTAAATCGTCAATCCTGAAATCATGATATGACGACGGCTTGACAATCTTGAATCTTGCATTTACATGTTTGATGGTTTCATGTATTGTAGGTTGGAGGCCATCGCTACTACGGTGGGGGCCATCGCTAGTAGGTTGGAGTCCATCGCTACTAGGGTGAAGGCCATCACTGTTTTATAGAAGGCATCAAGTTTGCCACCTGCCGCATTTGCCGCAGGCGCTTCTAGCTCTAGCCAGGAGGCCCCGACAACCGAACACAGGGACTGCAACGCGCAGACACAGGGGCAACGGCTGAATAAGAGAACTCCTACAAAAGCACGACTTGCAGTCATACTCTGGAAGCCCAACAGCTGTGTTTGGGAGATTCAAACAGGGGTTTAAAGGGTTGCAAGCGGTTTGTTCAGACAAGGTCAAACACCTTGACAACCCGGTATTTAAACATGTCCAACAAATTGCGCCAGAATCGGCAGGCAAATAGAACTGGATGAGAAGCAGGCAAAGGAAGTCCTTTTGTTTGTTGGTACTAGAGTCTTTGCTTTGTTCCTTTGTATCACCGTTGGCATAACATGTGGTTTGCTCAAGCTCCCTTCTCTTCTTCAGGAGTGATCCAATCTGTGGGCAGTACATCCAGAGTGAGCCTCCGTCCAAAAGTCTTGCGCCCCGCATTGCTGCATTATTTGGACATGCTTGCAGCCTGTGGCCATAGCGCGTCCAGCAACTTGATCCAGATTTCCTTTGCACGTTGGCTCTCGCTCAGACACAAAACGAAGTGTAAAGGATAACTACTCGACATGAAGGTAGCTGTGAAGAACTTCATGGGAACATGCTGCATCAAGCTAAATCAAGCGGATGTCATGATGAGCATCAGCCCACATGTCCGGTTTTGAGCTGGGCAGAACTCCACTCACCACAGAGCCAAAGATAGCCAAAGTAGAGGAAAATTGACGCGATTTATTCTGCCATGCCAAAGCAGCCTCCAGTGTCAAGGTCGCTTGCTCTTTGCATGTGTTGTTTGTTGGCATTTGAATATTTTGAATGCACGGTTGGGCTTTCCGCCCACACCTGCGATTTGAGACATTTCCTCGTCAGTTCGTCGGTCATTTGTTGTTCACGATGTCGAAGTCCATGCTGGGCTGCTCGCAGCATCTCGTGGCACTCGTGGCACTCGTGGGTTGGTTCCCAACACCACGAAGCACGGAGGTATGGTTCTGGAAGGAGAATCTGCTGGGCGGACCCTCATGCCTTGCAGAACCTTTGCACGGATTCCCAGCCCAAAGCCTTTCTGTGCCACTGAAAGTGATGGAAATGGGTTGTTGATGTAGTAACGAGGTTCGCTACTAGGAACAAGTGCCACGCTAGTAGTAACAGGTGCCTTACTAGTAGTAACAAGAAGCTATTAGATTTATAGTTCAGGTAGCTCTTTCTTTCCCCGAAGGAACAGGACAACGCCCGCAGTGAAGCTTCGCCTGCCGAACGCAGTGCCACATCTTGAGGCCTTCTGACCATGGAGGATCGAAGAACCGGCTCTCGGAAGAGGACTGGCTTGCCGCCCTACATCTATAGTGATGCGACCACCTCGGAGCTATCTTTCTCCATATCGCCCTACAATGTCTTGCAAATCAGGGAGCCAGATGTGCTTTATTGGATCCTAAGGTGATAGCGCCCTTCCTGCAGTTTAATAGTCCAATGCCTGGGCAACTCTATGCGAAGCTTGGGCTGCAAACCAGTTCGGAAAAACACGGAAAGCGGAGCAGCAGCCCCACATCCCCAACAGAGCCCACAACATGTCTTGTGAACAATGGGTGAAAATTGCCAATATGATAAAGGAGATGCCTCAGGATAGCCGCAGACTGACAGCAAAAGACCACCATGGCCTTAAAATGTAACCTACTTATACTTGTCGGACCTAAGTCTGTCATGGGTTTTAACGCAAAAAAGTAAAATAACAGCAAAGCCTGTAACATAGATCCCACGGCCCCAATCACCTCCAACATACCCCCACGAGAAGTCTCAAGAGAGCCCCAACATTCGGCGAAACGTGCCAACATGGAGAAGGATATACCCTAAGAATGCACCAAGATCGCCGAAGATTGGCACAAACATGCCCAAATTTGACCGCCCATTGGAGCAAGCTTTCGTAAGTAACAAAAATGTAAAAAAAAAAACACAAAGGTCAAAACCACCTGTCTTACACTTGTCGGACCTCATTTTTTCATACGCACACTGCTCAAAAGACCACATGCCCAAGTCAAACGGCAAAGAAAAAACAGCCAAGTGGACCAACATGACCGCAAAGCAAAGCCTTCAACATAGCCCTGATCTAGACCCCACGGCCCCAAGCACTTCCAACATACCTCCACGAGAAGCCTCAAGAGAGGCCCTACATTGGGTGAAATGCGAAGGATATGCCCTAAGAATGCGCCAAGATCGCCGAAGATTGGCACAAACGTGCACCAAATTTGACCGCCCATTGGAGCCAGCTTTCGTAAGCAACAAAAACGACAAACAAAACTGTCGTCTTACACTTGTCGGACCTCATCTTTTCATGGTTTTTACGGTGTTTTACGCACACTACTCAAAAGACCACACGCCCAAGTCAAACGGCAAAGAGAAAGCAGCCAAGGGGCTCCCACGGGCCCAATCACTTCCAACATACTTCCACGAGAAGTCTCAAGAGAGCCCCAACATTCGGCGAAACCTGCCAATATGGACAAAGATGTACCCTAAGAATGCACCAAGATCGCCGAAGATTTGCACAAACATGCTCTAAATTTGACCACCCACTGGAGCAAGCTTTCATGTGCAACACCAAGCTCTAAAACACCTTCCTTACACTTGTCCAAATGTTCGCGATACTGTTTATGCCGCCTGGGGAAAACTGCATTATTGACATCGTGGGTGTGTTCATCCGGAGCAAGCTTTCATACGCAAACAAGAGACAAAAAGAAACTCTCAAAAACACCTTCCTTACACTTGTCGGACCTAATTTTTCATTGTTTTTACCAGTGTTTTATGCACATTGCCCTTCAAAGCCTTTGAATGCCGGAGAACAAGAAAAACCACAAAAATTGCCTTCCGCGCAGGTAAAATGCAACTTTTTGAAGGCAAACAAGCTCAACACAAACCCACCCAAAGCCACTTTTTACATCTTTTTACTGTAAATTACAGTGCTTTATGCACCTTCGAACACACGAAAAAATGCCACCACGGTCTGCAAACCAGTCCGGCAAGCAACGGAAAGCGAGAAGCGAGCGGGCGCGGTCGCGACGTGCAGGTTTGCTTCGTATTTTTGGGTTTCCCGGTTGGTTTTCCTATGTGCTTCCATGTCTTTTGAGTTGGCTTGCCTTGTTTTCGCCTCTTCTCAAGTAGGTTAGCCTTGATCCAGCGTGTTGTCTGCCCAAAAGCGTAGTTTCATACTTTTGGGGTTGCGGTGTCAATTTTCCCAGGTGCTTTCCATTCTTTTCAAAAGGGTTTGCCTTGGCTGTGTCCATTCTGTGCTCTTTGTGTCTTCTTGTGGGCCTTGGTGTCAAAAAATTCTCATCTTAAGTTGATTTGCTTTGTTTCCGTCTCTTCTGTGCTCTTTGTGCCTTAGGTGCTTTCCATCCTTTTTAAATGGGTTACGCTTGGTTCTGTGTCTTTGTGAGCCTTGTTGCGACAAAAACTGGCTCTAGGCCCCAATGTGATTGTCGTGATGTTGGCTTCGTATTTTTGGTTTTCCTGGTTGGTTTTCCTATGTGCTTTCCATGCCCTTTAAGTTGGCTTGCCTTGTTTTCGCCTCTTCTCAAGCAGGTTGGCCTTGATCCAGTGCGTTGTATGCCCAAAAGCGTGGTTTCATACTTT